AACTCAGAATACATATCAAAATAACCAAAATACCCCTAGGTCGACTTTGGTCAAAATCCAAGTCACTGGGTCAACTCGATGAGTACGTTGGGCGTACTCAACACGTACGAGGGGCGTATTGCATGCTTGAACAAACAACAAAGGGCTGACCACATAAGCACAACATACACGGCTGCCACCCACTCAACCCATTAAGTGCTTAATGCTTAAGCACTTATGTCCATAATCCAGATCTAGACCCTAAAAGGTGTTCTTAACCATAAAGTTTCTAACTTTATGGTTTTGCATGGCCATTAAGACCTTAACATCAAAAACCCTAGCTTCTTGACCCATTAAGACAACCTAGATCATGCATGGAAAGAAACTACTGTCCAATATCACATTTTTATGACTTCACATACCCTAAAACATCTGAAAGGACAACTTAAAGGTCCTGGAGTATGCCATACTCACAAAGATCAATATTTGGGACAAAAAGGTGTCAACTTTAAGCTAAATTAGATCTTAATGAAATATTCATCAATGTTGGAGCTTTATACCTCCTGGAGATGCAAAAGAACGAGTAGTTGATGGATCTAAAGCCTTGAGTGAAACACCACAACTTCTAGGTTCCTCCTTCACCACCAAGAGCACTAAAATGACACCAAAATGGCTCTCCAAGCTTCAAAACACACTCACACACTTTAAGGTTTCGAGATAAGGATGGAGGATCAAGATAAGGAAGGGTATGGGGCTATAATGATGCTTAAATAGGGTCCAAACCCTAAAATTTAGGTTTTACACCCTGGCAACAGACGCCCAACGTACGAAACGAACGCCCAGCGTACACAAGCCTTGCCCAAAAATTACGAAAATGCCCATTGGGACTAAATTTGCAAACCAAACTCAAATCAAGGGTCAAATAGAAAATACCTGGAAATCAAGATGTTACAAAGATCCTCACAAGGTGGCTAGGATTTCGTTGCTTCTGTAAAGGAGGGTGGAGGTTGAGCATGGGGAGGATCTCAAGGACTTAAGGTCCTTTAAATAGGGTTTAAACTCTAAAAATTAGGGTTTGAGCATTGCAGCTTTATGCCCTGTGTAGCGGCTACGTAAGCCCTGCGTAGGATATTAAATCCCCACCCCCAATCTCCTTCTACGCCCTGCGTAGAGGGCAACCCTATGCCCTACGTAGGACCAGTTTTGCAAAAATAAAATATGATAAGGTTCAAATTGAAAATACCTAAAAGACGAGTGTTACATTTTCGTTGTCATTTGATGGTTGCTTTGTTTGAGAAGATAGCAATTTGACAGAATGTTATTATTTCGGGATTTGATACTTTGGATGATTGGTCGTCTTTGCTTGGTTCTCTTTGGTTGAAGTCTTCTTGCAAGATTTATTTGGAATGAGTTTTTTTCACGACTTGTGGTTCATTTGGTTGATAAGGAGTTCTTCGGTTTTTTATTCGGGCCGTTTTAAGAAGAGAGATTTGTGGGATAAAGTTATAACACAATCGTTTATATATATGGGTGTCTACTAGAACTAAGGGGAGAAAACTTAGTTGGGTCGGTTGGCTTTCCAATCCTAGCTTAGTTGTTTGATGTGTGTTTTTTTGAACATTTTGGTGTTTGTTTTTTTTCTCGTTAGTTCTTTGCGAACGTGTTATAATAAAATATGTTGTTTGAAAAAAAAACTATTTCTGAAAATCGGAGTAGAAATTCAATATGTAGATCTAATTATTCTTATGTGTGGTCTAAGCTTCACATAAATCAAATTGATTCTTTGATGTCTATATAATAGGGTGGTTATAATATAGAGAAGAGAGAGAAAAACACATAAAAGCATTTGACTCCCACATTCTCACGGATAAATATTTGTCGGTCAAGATTACATACAAACTTTGTGATTATTGAGGGGAGGTGTTCGTGGCCAACAATGTTGCCCATGTAGGATGTCAATGACAATCCATTCCCCCACACCGTTTAGCCTTATGTAGATAGGGGAAACTTCATTATATATAGAAACTTATAGGATTTTGTCGCACTAATGTGAAATACACTAACAGTTACAAATGATAATAAAATAAATTGTTATATTTAAGAAATAAAAAGGTTAATAATAAACAAGATTTTTTTCGGTCATTTTATACAAATAAACAGAATTTGTTAAATATAAAAAACAACATATTAACTTATTACGTTTTAGTACTAGATAAACTAATTCAAAAAGAAATAATAGAATTTCTTTTTGACATCAAATAATCCAATAATTTTTTTTTAAAATGTTGCTTGACGATCCCAAACGCTAATATGTTTTTTGAGTTGACTATTGTGTAACCCTAAGGTCATGAGTATACATGGCATGATGAGCTCTCATGGCTAGGTGGCATAGATGTCACAACCATGCACACCACCTCGGGGTGACATTGTGCAACGCTCGTGATGTCTCGTGTTATATATATCACCAAGGTCACACTCAATCGGGTGGAATCCTTATCTTTGTCTCTCTATCTCTCTTTTGATTCTTTCTCTCTTCCTCTCTCTTCTTCTTAAGTATACCAGCGTTGGGAGTACACGGACTTTGATATGGTGCTTCTTTCTTCCTCTATCTTGCTTATCTGGAAGAAAACTCTATTGAGATTTATGTATGATCCAAGATCAATTTTATGCATAAATAAGAGTAACCCTAAATCAATTGAAGAATACTTACTTGGAGAAGATGATATATCATTGATGTTGAAGATGACTAACTTCATATTATGATTCTTTCACTTCCCATATTGGTGTGTAACTGGACGATTATGATGGATCATTCACCCATGATTACGATGTTTATAGAGAGGTCTTATAACATTAAGAGAAAACTCATTTATGTATCTCTCAAAATGTATGTCCCGTCATATGCATGCTTTAATTTTAGTTAATCAATTACATCTTAGGGGAAAGTTTTAGAACCATACAAATTTGGTCCCTTAAATTACGGATATATGTCATATCCATCATACTACAAATAATAAACCCCGAAGACCTGACATGTTATATGGAAAATATTATGGTACATAATTTACATGTGTCAAACACATAAAAACATTACAAAATAGTTTGATGGTCACATTAACGAGATATTTTCCAGCAAACTCACGTCAACGGCATTGGTAGTATACCCCATGGTCTAAGATGTTTTTTGGTTTGATTATTGTATAATTGTTGCTTATTTTTCTTATTGCTTCATTGGATTGAAAAAAGAAATACAAAACTACTTTTCTCGAAGTTTTTGAATTACGAATATAATAAGGATATCAAAATCAATTATTTTAAATGTTAAAATATCCAATTTTGAATATTCCTAGCAATTCCTGTTGGAAAAATGGTTTTTGTCAATTTAAAAAAAATGGATTTTTTTTCTATTTTTGAGCATGAATTTTGAACCCCAAAACGAAATGAAAACTGACAAATAGTTATATTTCGTGTTCTCCTCTGTGATACATTTATTTTGATATATCATACGTCCAAAACGTATTTAAGATGAATTGGAAATTGTATGTTATTTGAAAGAAAATAACAAATAGGTTAAATGAGTTTTATTAAATCCCATACAGGTAGGAGTATGAAAAGGAAAGAAGTTTATAACTACAACTGGTTCTTGGCAAATAAGGTTGTAAACGAACCGAACGTTCCCCAAACTGTTTATGAACCGTTCGACGGAAAGTTTATTTATGTTTGTCGATGTAATAAATGAACAAACATGAACACAAATTCTCATTAACACAAATTCTCGTTCGTTTAGTTACGAACGGACAAAAATAATGGTCTCGTTTGTTCGTTCATTTAAGTTTATTTTATGTTCAATTGTGTCTTATTACACTACTATATAGTATATTGAATGTACGTTTATGTTCATATTTTGTTAAATTATGTATGTTTATCTTCGTTCTTTTATATTCGTTTACCATGTTCACTAACATAAACGAATGAACATGAATAATGTAATTTGTTAAACGAACGAACATAAACAAAAAAACTCGTTCGTTTATGTTCATGTTCGTTCGTTTGATTGACTAACTTAAACGAACGAACATGAACAAGTCATCATTCGTGTTTTTTCAGTTCGTTTACGGTCCTACTTAACATTGTAGGTTTTATAATACAAAGGCTCTCTTATGCATGCACATACATTTTAGTGTTTTAAGGCATGATCAGTTACATTTTGATGTGTATTCAGTAACCGACTAAGACACCCAAATAAACCATTATTTTCTTCCTCTAATCCGAACACCTCATATCGGACAAATTTGTTTTAAGGACGCTTCTCTAATGTGAATAAAGAAAACCTTTGGGCAAAACAAGAAAGGAACTGGCCCTTTGACATCAAGGGTAAGAGCGGATTGCTGACCATGACTTCAGTAACAATTTATGTTTTTGTTCTTTGTACATTTTCTGCTATGTTTTCCTAACAATGCTGGCTATTTTAACGCATATTTCAAGTACTTCTATTTTAATGCATATTTGAAGCACTTCTATTTTAATGCATATTTGAAAGCACTTTTGTGTTATAAAAATTATGTTGTATATAGTTTGGATGTATTGTAAAAGACATGGGCATTATTAACAGAAAACCTATATATGGAATGATTATATTTGAGTAGAGGCACCCTCAAGGGAAATAGTTGTAGTTGTAGATATGTCTGCGATGGCTTCCCCTGTAACAAACGGGTGCCCCAACAACTGTGCTGCTGTCCATCTCTTTGCTGGATCCCTCTGCAAACACCGTCCCACAAAATCTTGAAACTCCGTGGAAGCAGTCGCCGGCGCTTTAGGTGGCGGAGACATACAAATCGCCATCATAAGACTCGCCCAAATCATCGGATCTTCCTACCTCAAACGGTAAAATCCCCATGTACAATTCTAAAATGCTCACACCCATGCTCCATATATCTCCAGCGTACCCGTCGATTTTTCCTTGGTTTAGGTCCGTATTTATCCTTTCAGGGCACATGTAAGCAATCGTACCCACTGAATCTTTACAAGGATGCGTCGTCTGTTCCAAGATCCTCGTAACCCCCAGAAATCGCAATCTTCACTTCTTTTTTGGAATTAGTTAAGAGATTTGAAGGTTTGATATGACGATGGGCGATGTTATTCCGGTGGAGGTAGTGGAGACCAGAGAGAATCTGACGGGTGAGGTCGGCCAAAGAGGATTCGTCGGACAAGTGCGTGCCTTGAAGAGATCCACAGTCCATGTATTCAAGAAGAACCTGAATCTCACCATCACGATCGAACACGTCATGACACTTGACGATGTTGATGTTATCGATACCATGCAGGAGCTTGATTTGATGAAGGATCTGGCGACGGAAATCATCATCGTGGTTTGAGTAGATTACCTTGAGGGCGAAGTGGGTGGCGGTGGGGCGGTGGAGGACCTTGTAGACGGGACCCCAGGAGCCGTTTCCGATTCTGATGATGCGTTCGAAGTCTGACAAGTCAAGGTGTTGTTGTTGGTTTGACATAGGGCCGGGCGGAGGAGGGTGGGAGAGGACTGGGGTAAGGGTACGTCAGGACGACGGCGAGGGCGAGTATTGATCGATGTGATTGGGCTTCATTCGCATTCATTGGTGTTTGGGTTAGATGATGGATGTGTATGCATGTATATATAACCAGATGAGAAAGTGAGAAACAGAATGGTTTATAGGGTTTGAAGTTTCTGAGAAGAAGAGTTGATGAAGACGAAGCGTGGAAGATGATATTCAAATGTGTTTGGGAGAGAGTGGAAGTCATAGAAAGAAATGGTCTTGTTGTAGGTCCAAGAAATATTTGTTTAATAACAATAAACCCATTCGTCTATCTACTTTTAGTTTTCCATAATTGACCAACACCTAAATCTTTTCGTTATCATTTACATAAGTATTTTTCGTTACTACTACATCTACCTCCCATAACATATTTTAATTTCGACACTAATATAAAACCATTTATACAAGAACTTATACACAATTTAGAACACTTCGTAAACTTTGACACAAAGAGTAAATACATACTCTGTTACAAATTATACATTGAACAATAAGAAATTATATCAACCAAAATAGGCGGTGTTTGGTATTGTTTGTTTTAGGTATTTATTAGTTAATTGTGGTCATCGTTAATATATAAACCTTTTGAGTGTCCGGATAAAATAAAATAAACAAAATTATTGTTTTTACAACAATACTTCATGCATGATTGTTTGTGTTTTTAATGCAATAAAAAACATGGAATATCTTTTGAACTTAGAAATGACATATGAAACCGATTTGATCTAGATTTGAAGAACAATTTTCACACCATATATACATTGCCTCAATCACCACGTCTCTCTTCCCCTCGCTCTCCAGTGTGCTTTGAGGATGGAGAGTTTTGAAGACATATCTTCTTCTTATCCAATCATCAGACACATGAACTTTGTATTTAGTGTTAATATGAACTTTTTTTTTTGTTTTTAATAGAACTTGTAAATACTACATTGGTATTTGAATTGAGTTGTTTTACAAAATTTGTTTTAGAAAAAATATTAGTGTGAACTCCATTTGAATATGTATCCGAGTTTGATATTTAGTCCTTGAAAATCATATCAAGGACTCATATAACGAAAAGGGAGTCAAAGGAAACATATTTGAGAGTAAATGAGATGATGTCAAAAATTGATATCTAGTCCCTAAATCTTATCATGTATTGATACGACATAAAATCAGGAACATGAAGAAAATATATTTGACTGAATTATACGGTATAACAGACTTATTTTCTATCTATGATATTGTCACCTATTATACGGAATGATTATCACTCTTATATTAAAAAAAAAAAATTACTATATAGGATTAGGTATTTAGGATTTAGGAATGACTAGCTACATGTATCTTGATTATCACTCTTAACAATTTAAGTGTTTATTTTCTAACATTGTATCTTGTTTACCTCATAACGACATGAATTTATTTTCATCATGGTTTTTTCTATTATTCATATACAATAATATGTATTTACATAGCTATTGTTTACCTTTTAGCCATAAAGCATCACTTAAACTATATACACTATTTTGTTTTATCATGAATACTATATACCTTACAACCACATGTATTTACTTTTAATGTGTTATTTTCTATCATTTAGATACAAAAAAGTTTTAATACGAGTCACACATAATCATTAAAATTATGTTTATACACTTTTAACAGACACATCATGCATTTTTTTTCTATCAATATGAGTATTATTTACCATATAGTCACATGAAATAATGACAATCATCTTTTTATTAATTTTGAATTTACTTATAAATGAATTATATACTTTATTAAAAAAAACTAATGAAAGTGAAGTGTGACCATTTCCTAGATGAGAAGAGATTCTATAAAAATCATGTGGAATTGCTTTGACAAAAAGAAAGTAAAGGATGTGGGGTGAATACCTTTTGGTCTAGTGATTCCCGAATACTATAAAACAAATGTCGTATTTTTCGATCAACTTTTTTTAAAGATAACACTGTGTGTTATCTCATGTTTCTTTACACTGCTTTATATACGTTATGTAAACAACTATCCATTTCTTAGGTAAAAAAACTTGACAGTAAACAAAACATGAAGTGTTGAACACATGTATATAAAACAGATTCATTAAAGTAATCATAAATATATAAATTTTAATAACAAAATCAAAAATTTCAGATGTCTGATGTCTAATATCCGAGATAATTTGTAAAATGGCATCTGAACCCAAATACAATAATTCAGATATCCAAAATTCCAGATTTTTGAAACTGAAACCACATAGAAGCTTTTAGAATAAAAAACAAAACTCAGACCAAACCCGAACCCAATTTCATAATTTACTCAAGAAATAGCTTTAACCTAACATTAATATTGGATAATTAACGAGTTCTAAATTGATTGTTTACCAAAGAATCGAACCAAAAAAGAAGTTTATTAAATGTTTAGCATTAAATTGTGTTGTATAAAACGGAAACATGCGGATTTTTACATGTACTTGACAATGGATAACAGAACAATTAAAAGAAACATGTGACGCAGGCTCGGCTTCATTTAATAAATGATTTTGACAGTTTTACCCTTAGCCTTACTACACACCATATCCTTCCTTTTTGATGCTCTTTCCCATATGAACATACATGTGTAGCCTCCCCTCACAAAATTACAACCCTTCATCATCTCCACCTACCTAGTCATCATCTACATAAATAATTTCAAAACCAAGTTAAATCAAATCTTTACAAATACACAGCTTGTTATATTAAAAATATTGACACTCACCCGATTTATTATCAATGTGTACAAAGAAACTTGCAGCAACAATGAGATAACACAGAATTAGCATCAACCCTTTGAAGTAATTTGATGTTCCTTCCTACACACACACACACACACATACACCAAATCATTACTTATTAACTTATCCAATAAACACACACACACACACACACACAGAGAAACTGAATTAAATACCTGTAGCATAAATGCCACGACTAACACTGTGATAAAGAGAGAAGCAGTTTCAAAGAGCTGAAAATTCAAGTCCATTGGTTGACCCATGATCCACCCCACAACCACACAAAATGGGATCTATACGTGAAAAAAGAAAGAAAAATATATCACATTACATTATTAATATTTATTAAGCTTATTGTAATATTAGAAACAATAAGAAGAAAAGGGTTCATGGTATTACCACAAACATTGATATCTGAGTTGATGATCCAATTGCTACTCCAAGTGTGATGTCCTATAAATAAAAAAGGGTTACATATAAATTCTATTGTTGCTAATAAACTCATTATTGTGAAATTTGGTCTTACAAGCTTGTCTTTCATGGCAAACATTATGGCACTTGCATGTTCAGCAGCATTACCAACAATAGGAAGCAAGATTACACTAATAAAAGACACTGGCATATTCCATGAGTCTGATGCACCCTGAAAAATTACAATCAACATTATATACTTAAATCATCTAATCTATGGAAGACAAAATGTATAAAACTTATAATAGTATGAATTATGAAATGTCACCTGAATGGCATCAACAAGATATCCAGATAATACAGACACCCACAATGTTAAAATGGTAAGCCAAGCAATTGCTTCCCACATAGTAATTTCAGGGACCTCTTCTTCCTCAGGTTCATCACCATCATTTTCTCTTTCCTCATCAACAGAATCATAAAGATTAGCATGACTCTTAAGCTGAAAGAAAAGATAGCTTGCATATGCCACCAACATGATACAGCTACTGAATCTTGAAAGTGCTAATTCTGATTTCCCAAAATGAACTTCTGTATGTGTAAAATGAAGAACAGCTGGAAAGAGGATTCCCATTACAGCCATCAGCAGCAGCCCTGAACTAACTATTGCAGCTGTCTGTAAACAGTCACAAATGATGACTAAATGAGTGATTCCAGGTATCTAAATTCCAACATACAAAGGAATGGAATCAGATTCAAAAATGGTGAATTACCTGGTTGAAACGTTGAACTTTTGGATAATGCACAATGCCACCAGTAAAGAAAGCACAACCAAGAACTAACAGCATGTTTGATAAGATGGATCCTAACAATGATTGTTGAACAACCCTAATCATCCCGTTTTTTAATGCATATATTGAAATAATCATTTCTGTTGCATTGCCAAATGTGGCATTTAGCAGACCTCCAACTGTATTCCCTGTATAACATGCAAGCTGCCTGAAACATATGAAAAAAAGAGTTGATATATACAGCATATTCAAGAAGAAAGGAGAAGACAAACAAAGAAATGAAGAACTTCTTAGTTCTTACTCAGTTGCATAACCTAGCCGTTCAGCTAAAGGTGTAATTCCCAGTAAGCTGAAAAAGAAAACCCATCCCTGAAAAGAAAAGTTGAAGATGAAGTACATTAAGATTTAATCTTCAGTTTCAGAGTCATGGAGAAGAAGCTTAAAAAGAGATGAGAGAAGATTCTTACATGTCGTCCTGTCATGTAGTGCATCAATACTGCCAGAGGTCCGAAAGGAAGCAAGACATTGATCTTTGCTTTGAATAAGACAACATACACGCTATGAAAAGCAGTGAATTGAAGCTTTCTGAGGGTGCGGAATTTGGGGACAGATGTATGAGATGATGTCTCGAACTGAAAAGATTGCTTTGCACCTGCGGATTGTGATAAAGTTAACGGGCTCTCTTCGTCAGATTCAAAATCAATCTTCTCTAGTGTTGATTCCATCTTGCTAGATCCCATCTGCAAGGTTGATAAACTCTGTAATTAACTGGATTGATTGAAGATGGATTCGCTAATTTCTGCATCAGACAGCTTAATGGCGTGCAAATTTCTACCATTAACGGATCCTAAATCATGGTATAGACTTTGAAATTGGCAATTTTTAGAATATACGTTATCGTGAACAGTAGAAGCAGAGTAGACTATGTGGGAATAATGTCTAAGATTAAGTGTAAACTAGAAACAAGGTGCAATAATACATAAAAACAACTTGAGAGCAAAACAGTAATGAAATCAAACAACAATGCCCACATCTGACGGAGAAATATAAGTGATCTTGAAGCAAAAAAGGACAGATCTTGTTATCGTTGAAGTAAGACAAAATCCAAACTTAAAGTTGCGAAAGATGATGTGCAAACCAATAAGAGACGAAGTGGGTTGAATGCAAGATGGGTGATTCACAGATCAAGGGATGTAAGTAACCAGAAATTAAGCGAACTCACCTTGACTACTCAAAGTCGAAGGAAGAAGGTTGAAGATGGTGAAGTCCAAGTGAGATTTAAATCCATAAGCAGATCACATGATGCGGTAAGTGAAATCTTGACAGCAAATTCGTAAAACGGATCAATGATTGGTGAAAGGTAATAAACTAATTGAAATTAGGAGAAAAATCGAAAATTGAAAGAGGGTTTGATTTGATAGAAGAAGAAGAAGAAAGGTATTAAGGTAGAGATTAGAGAAGAGGGAGGGCGGAGATTGGTGGGGAGTTGAAGTGGGCAAGGCGGCATGTAGGAGCAGAAGCCAGGAGGAAGCTTCCTCCTTATCGTGAGAGTTCTTAATCTTTCAACTTAAATAAATAAATAAATAAATATAGTTTTTTTAGAGGTATTGATCAAGAATTCAACGGTGGAGATTAGTTGTAATTGAGATTGGGGTCATGGATTTGACTCATGAAGGTGGTCAACAGTTGGTTAGAACATGAAGAAAGCGTTACAACTTACAAGTTGGGTCTTTTGTGTGTTTTCTTACAAGTTGGGTCTTTTGTGTGTTTTCTTACAAGTTAAAACCATTAAAATATGTTTTTGAATTTGGAATGAATATAATACAATAATACCAAAATAACATGTTAAAAATCTTTGGGATAAACATTTGTGTTGAAAAATAAGATCATCTTATAATGATACGAATCAAAAAGAGTACAAGGTTTCTAAGTTATATGAAATATCAGACGAAGGATTTTTTGTAGATAGAATTAGAAAATAGATTTTATGTTTGAATGTAGGAAACATCTTATTTACGATATCAAAGTTATTCCAAAATAGTGTTGGATAAAGAAACAAAAATCTAAAAAGAGCAAAGATTAAAATAGTATTGGATAAAGAAACAAAAATCTAAAAAAAAAAAAAAAAAAGAAAAAAGACGGTGTTACTAGTTATCAATGACCAAACATGTTTTGAATTCATTTTAGAAACATGATTTGCCTTAAACTATTACCACTAATTACTTACGTTAAGATATTTGGCATAAAGGATTTATTAAGATAAAATTTGGTAGTGTTATTATACATAATCATAACATGTCGATGTCATTGTCACCTTATCTAGTGATGATATTAGGACCGCACGAAAGATAAAGCAGTGGATGATATAGTTGTTATCTAATATTAATTGCACACTTATAATTCGTTATACGTTGGAAGTAGCTAAAAGAATAAATAAAGATTAATTGAAGATTAACTGGGTTGTAGAAGTTTGATAGGGCTTTAGTCTTGCTGATTTAGCTCTTGTTCATCTTCTTTATTGAGGTCTTCCCTTTCCTTTGATCAACAATTCCCTCAATCCATATCCTAAGCAAAGAAAAACTTTTCCTATCTCTTCATCACTAATTCCTATAATATATATCCTAAGCAAGGAAAATGTGTATATGGTCTTTTAGGCCTTGTCATGAATAAGGGGAGGGGGCCGGCCACGACCCTTCCCCAAGTAAACTCAATATATACTCTATATAAGGATATAGTATTCGTCTTAAACCCTAATGTGCCTCCTTGCTTTTGGCCATTTCTAGAGGGTGTTTTAGGGCTTTTGCACAACACCACTCGAGTTTGAAATTGTCTTTAAATTACATCATTCAATAGTTTTAAACATATTTTAGTATTAAGTGCGAATAAAGCCCCAAAACAACAAACCACACAAATACATTTTTTGAAAGGTATATAAAAGTATTACAATCTTATTAAGAGATAACAAACAAAGTGTCTTGAACAATTCCAAACCAAATATGCAAATGAGTTTTCTAAATATCCTAAGCTTTGAAGCATCTAAGAGTCCAGGCCTTATAGATCCAAATCATTCACCTTGTTGTCCGCCTCCTGGAGGTATAAAGTTTCCATCTTAGCAATCTGTCATGCTAGATCTAGTTAGTTATGCATTTTGTATGTTTTTATCCCAAAACCTTAGATCTTGTGAGTATGATCTACTTGAGACCTCTTGATGATCATTTCTTGTTGTTTTGGGGTTTCTGAATCATAAAGTTGAGAGCTTGATCACCCCATCTACCCCCATGCATGAGATCTTGAAAGTTTGAGGAGCTAACTTTCTGTAATAAGAGCTTTATGGGAATTTTGGCATTCAGACTGTGACATCCCCGATTTCACGGCCAGAAAAGACCGATTTCGTTTATGCTTTTTAAAATAAAATCAGAGAAATCTTTTTAAAAGATGTTGCGGAATTTGTTCCCAAAACAAAACATGATAAAAATTTATCAAAACCTTTCTTTAAAAAATATATATTCTCATTTTATATTAAAACCTCGGGATGTCATGTTCCGATACAGATCAAAAGCATAAACAAGACATTATAAGCCTTACATCAGTTATTTACAACTATTGGCCTATAATCCAAAAATCACTCATTGTCATCATCCGACTATGCTCGGGGTCCACTACATGTAATATAAAAAGCTGAGTGGGTCAGACTTGGAAGCCTGATGAGCATATAGGGTTTTCAACCCACAATAAATAATAAACTCTTTAAGTTTATCAATCAACAAATAATTTATTAATTTCATCAACCAAAAACAACCATAATTACCCATTCCCGTTATCCTCACCTTACGTCCCTAAAACAACTATCACAAGGGACCTAGCCTAAGGATTTTCATTAGGGGTGACAATATTGTTTCGGGGGTTCCTCAGCAATTTATGTCAAATAAGGCAACCAATGGGGTGACAACTTTGCTTTCCTTAGCAAATAATGTCAAACAAGACAACCTAACATAAAAAAACCAATAAGGTGACAACATTGCTTTCCTCAGTAATTTATGTCAAATAAGACAAACATCGGGGTGACAACATTGCTTTCCCTCAGCAATTTATGTCAAATAAAACAAACATCGGGGTGACAACATTGCTTTCCTTCAGCAATTTATGTCAAATAAAACAAACACCTGGGTGACAACATTGCTTTCCTTCAGCAATTTATGTCAAATAAAACAAACACCGGGGTGACAACATTGCTTTTCCCTTAGCAATTTATGTCAAATAAACAACCAATAAGGTGACAACATTGCTTTCTTCAGCAATTTATGTCAAATAAGACCACCTGACATAAAACAATCAAAATGGTGACAACATTGCTTTTCTCAGCAATTTATGTCAAATAAAACAACCAACGTGGTGACAACACTGCTTTCCTTAGAAATTTATATCAAATAGGCACGAAGTCATATCGTCGCCAAGGTTTACACAACAGGCACTAAGTCCATAGCTGCCAACGTACTAAATCCATAGCTACCAACATACATCTATACTGTACTAAATTCATAGCTACTAACGTACATCTATACTGTACTAAATTCATAGCTACCAACGTACATCTATACTGTACTTTTATCCCTCATACTTTATTTACCCATGTTTTACCCAACATATTCGAAGATAAAATATTTATGCATTTTAAATCATTTTAAACATGTATAAAACATTCATTCAACACCCATCTCAAATAAACAAACAACATATATACACATATCACGTATTTTATAAAAAATACTTCATATCTATGTGTAAGATGAAAGTGACTACACACTCACTTGATTAATGAAAATCGGGCAGCAATTCGTTTCCTAAAAACGATCGTTTCTAATAAAACCGGGAGTTTTATTAAGAAACCGGACTCTGCAAAGGGTCGGGCTTCGAAACCGAAAAGATAAATTTTCCGGGCTTCCCGGGCACTTCGTGGCGTATTCCGGGGCTTATAATCGATACCAGGGCTTTGGGGGAAGTTAGAATGAAAGAAATATGAAATTTATGGTGAAAGGTGGCAAATTTCCAAAGTTACCCGGGAAGGCTCGCAGTCTTCTATTTATAGGGATGAGCTTCTGATCGGACGACTGAGAAGCCTCCAGGTGGTGCTGATCCGAGGGCTCGCGGGGAGGGCTCGCACATGGCTGCGCATGCGAAGGGTTGCTGGCCTCTTGTGATTGGACCGAGGTCTAGGTCCGAAGTAGGGGTTCCGTGGCAGCCTTGCAAGGGTTCGGACACGAGGGAAGTGGGTACGTGTCTCCTTCTCAGGGAAGTGGGTACGTATGCCAAACCATGTTCTCTGTAGCGACATAAGAACATGGTTTGGCATACGGAATTAAAGATTGCACAATGAACATGGTGATTTGGGTGTTCAAGAGATGTATTGATTGTATATGGTGTTACACAAAAAGGATTTAGATCTAGACTACATAAATAACACACACTTACACACTCACTTTTACATCTCTCAAGCACACCTCTACAAGTGGACTAAACCCACCTTATATAGAGGTGTTTACATGTCTCTCTCTCACTCTCACTAACACATGGGTCTAAAGGCTAATGCACCACATGCAAGTGGGTCTACAAGAGTCAAACCATTACAAAGTCATACATGAAGAACTTTGCACCCCAACATTCTCCCCCTCAAAGTTAGGAATGGATGACCCACTTCAAATCTTCCAAAATCGAGCAACTACGCGATCCGAGCCTTAAAGGTGACACATGTCGAAACGAACTTCAATCTTCAATTCTTCCATGATTCTTCAATTTGGGCTCTAGGATGTGAGACCATACAATCCGAGAATCAACGAATGATCAAGAGTATCCCAAACTCCAAATAATCACCCTAAAGTTGAGCATAAAAACACACCCCAAAAATCTTCAATAAAACCAAACCCATTTCGAATACATCACTTCCGAACATCCAATTGCATCATTTCGTAAGCTTCAAAAATTAAGGTCACTTCGGTCTTCAAATCCGCGTAATATGAAAAATTCAAGTTTGAATTTCCATATAAATTTCTCCCCCTTTTTATAATCGAAACTTGATTATAAAACCTTCAAGGAAAGAGAACGTGCTATATTTGAAATTTTTCGTGTCAAAACTCCCCCTTAACTTGTGGCATAAACTTTGTGCTTCAATCCGGAAAATCCAAAAAATATTGAATTTTTAGCTTCGTTCACGGATCGCCTTTGACAAAATTTCTCAAAAATGGGTAGAAATTGTCAATTTCAAAATTCTGCAGTGACCCGGTGCGCCCAAAACAACAAAATATGCAAAACTCTCCCCCTTTTCCAAAGCTGGGTAGAAAGCGGCAATTTGCACAAACTACAGGGGCTTAAAATGTATTTTCTTCAATTTCAGCAAAAACAGTCCTTTTTCGAATTTGGGTATGAACCGCCAAACATTCGAAGCCTCAGGGACTATTTTCGAAAATTCTGCCATTTATGTTCCAAACATACGAAGAGTTGACCAAACATTCGAAATTTCAGAAAATATTCGAATTTGGGTAAAAAGTGTCAAACATTCGAAACTTCAATTAATTGATGAGGTTGCCAAATATTCAAAAGTTTAGGGGTGATTTTCGAAAATTTTCCATTTTTGATCAAAACATTGGAAATTTCAATCAATTCATACGAAGCCTTGCTTCGTACGAAATTATCAGGTGACAAACATGCGAATCTTCAAGGACCATTTTCGAAAATATTTCTTTCTTTTTCCTCAATTCACACGAAATCACAATCCAAACACACGAATTCGAAGCA